TTAATTTAATTGCTGGGTCAAACGATGTAAAGTTTAAAGTTCGCATTACGGACGCAACTCTTATTGTTCGACGAGCACGAATTAATCCAAGCGTATTACTCGCACATCAAAATGTTTTAGCTTCTACCACTGCTAAATATCCTATTACTCGAGTTGAAGTAAAAGTTTTAACAATTCCATCGGGTGTTCAAGGAAAAACTCTTGATAATATATTTTTAGGGCAGGTACCCAAAAGATGTATAATTGGATTTGTGAACAATTCTGCATTTAATGGTTCCCTTACTAAAAATCCATTTAACTTTGAAAACTATGGTATTAATTCTTTCAGCTTATATATTGACGGTCAACAAATACCTTCAAAAACTTTGCAACCATCTTTTAATAATAGTGTATTTACATCAGCATATCGTACTCTATTCTCGGGAACTGGTATTCACTTTCTTAATGGAATCTCTTGTGAACAGTATGCCAAAGGTTACTGTCTATTAGCATTTGACTTAACTCCTGATTTATCAGCCAACTCATCAGCTCATTGGAATCTTATAAAGCATGGTAGTGTAAGATTAGAAGTACGATTTGAATCCTCACTAATACAAACAATTAACTGTATAGTTGATGCTGAGTTTGATAATATTATTGAGATGATAAAAACAGAAATGTTACTGTAGACTATAGTAGTTAAGGTTATAATATGTATTGTATGTTAGATTTTATGAGTTATGTGTAATGCATTTTGTGTGTATGTAACTATGTGAAACGTTATAAAATTAAATAAAACAAATTGTATGCAATATATTATTTTTTATTTCTTTATAAATCTTCTATTTAATCTAATACAAAACACTGTTCGAGTTTAAAGTTACACCGGACTCTTTCATTAGATCATCAATAATAACAAGATGTGTGTTTTCACCATCAAACAATTTAAGATTTGGAATTCCTTGATGATAGTTAACATTTGGTAAATTATATAAAGGTTGCATTTCATCAAAGCACCATGTGATCTGTTTAAAATCACAATTACATATTTCTGTAACTGATTTTATGAAATTTGTTACAAAATTTGACTTCCCACATCCACTTGGTCCTGCCACAATAGCAGTAAACGGATGTATAAAGTGAAACATTACACACGTCTAAAGTTCTAAGGGGTGAAATAAAAAATGAAAGTGTTGGTGTAGGTAAACAATTAATATATATTGTGTGCTATAACTAATGTTTTTGGGAAATCAAACAAAATTTATGATCAATTTAAAATTTTATTTTCAACCAATAACCACTTGTAAAAAACCCACACTTCGTCACAAGAACAATGTAAAATTTTGTGATTATTTTTGCAAATATATGATTATTACACACATAACGTTTGTTTAAATTTATGACATTTACCAAATCATTGTATTTTGGACATTTGTTATCTTCAATATTAAAAATTCTATCATTCGTCGTCAACACTTTTAAAAATTGTTTTTCTGCTGAACCACCTTTGTATGCGATCACCTCGTCTTTGCACAAATTTCTAATATACCAATTTAATATGGTAATGATGTTCTCTTGTTTGTAGACACATTTTAATTCTTCGGTCACGTCAAAATATGGAATGCCGTGCACGTGTGTTTCGCAATAACGAACAGTTTTTTTGTCTTTTGGTAACAAATAATTGAAAGGATAACTTGGCCGAAACAAATAATGATCGATAAACGCATAATTTTTATTAGATAGTTTTACGTCTAGAATAGCCATTTCTCTACATTGAAAATGTTTATGAGGATATGTAAAATAAAATCCGTCCATGTCGATGATGTATCTAATATTTTTTAGATTTTGTGTCATTTTGAACCAAAAAGTAAAAGTACCCGTGACTAAAAATATGTTTGTTCCAACAAACTTCACATAACAATGCTTCATTACTTCCCATCATCCCATCTCTTCCTTCTGCTCTTGTCTTCCTGTAATTTAAGTAAACAGAATCACATTCACTAATGATCAACTAATGACTGTCATTGTTAAAAAAGTATTTTTTAACTATTTCAGTTTCTACTATTGTCTTTGTATTCAGGGCTAGGAAATGTCCGCCGCGCTGCCTCAATGCGTGTTAGCGAACTTCACATGCTTTCGAAATTTTCTCAGACATGCCGGTTTCCTCACGATGTTTTCCTTCACCGCTGAACACGTAGTAAATCAGCACTTAAAATTGCAATTAACAATTTAATTGGTGCCGGCGGGGATCGAACCCGGATCGCGTACTGTGAAATTTACAGCTTCCGCTAACCATCTGAGCTACCACGGCTTAATCATATACATACATAATATTTAAATATAATTTGTTAACAATAAATCATATACACGTAAGAAAATAACAGAAAGAAAAGTAAGTTTGTCAATAGAATAAACACTTACATCCAAGGCCTTTGATGCGTTGAAGTAACACAAATGTAGTATTGATAGATCCACTGTGGTCAAACGACCATACACTCCATGACTGCAGCTGCTCGGTCTTATATAGTACCAGTAAGTAATAATTCTAATCTAGAGAATTTCTGCTGTGGAACTGATAGTACGAGTAACTTTATACGTCAACAAGCTGATCTCACATTCTGTTGCTTATCTCAACATTCCTTCGTGTTGCGTCTTGTTCAGTGTATTGATGACTCAAATACGATTTGTATAACACAAAAGAATGCAATTTAATATTTAGAAATCACTATAATTGATCGTTCCTATGTTAGTCATTGAGTAGATTGGTACTGTAATAATCTACTAATAGCAGTAATATCATGGATACACTAGATGTACAACAACATCTGAAACAGATTCACCCCAGTCTAGAAAATAATGTTTATGCTGCTAATAGACTGCCCATGTATACCCGCATTTTATATACGTTGCATATTATATACGTTGGTACGTACCAACGTATATAATATGCAATTTGGATACAGATGATAAACCAGGGTCACATTGGGTAGCTTTATATATCGATTCGAATGACGTCGGTCAATATTTTGATTCATATGGACGATCATCGTACGATATCATGTAGAGTTTTTAAAAAGGAATTGTAAAAGATGGAACTGGAATGTTGATAGGATTCAGAATGAGTGGACTTCGGTTTGTGGCGAATATAGCTTAATGTATTTGCTATATAAGTTTCAGGGATGTTCAATGCATGGTTTTACCAGTACAGTACAGTTACAGGGAACACATTGTACAATGATATTTTAGTGGATGAGATGTTTCGCTCCTATTTTATAGACAATAAGTAATAAGATTTTATATTTTGTAAATAAAAATTGTAACAAAATTAGGTAATGTGTTTTATTGATGATTCAGATTAGCGTTGTAGATAGGAACAAAGAAGTATAATACAATAGCACTGATAAGCCGACGCATACGCCGAGGAAAAATAGACAATGACGGTATTCAATGAATAGATAAATAGACAAGAACAATGGGGCGCTAATGACGGTGGAGGCCCTCACCGGATTACAATTAGATAAGAGTTAATTGATCTGCAAATCTCAGGAACCGTGCATCCTACGCAAAAACGGAGATTCGTGATCAGAGCATGCCAAAACCTTTTTTTTTTAGGATCATGAGTCGACGAACGTTGTACCACTTCTGACTCAGTGAGCCAGAACTGATACAACGTAACTACTCTAGTCAATAAACAAATGACTAATTGTGATAAAAGAATTCCATATTTTAAAAAAAATTATTTGAAATTATAATTCTTAGCCGAACAAAAGTTATTTTGATCTGAAATGGTCAGAACTGCAATTTCATAGGTAAACCTATATTTGCCGGAGCTATTACGTTTGACAAGTGCTTTGACAGTATTTTCATTATTTCGGGTTGTAATTCCTAATAAGGAGGATACTACTACTGCCCATCTCCTATTTCATTCCTCCTTGTCGCCTCTTACGACACCCACCACGGGACGATAAAAATTTTTGGTTTCTTTTACGCCTCCACCACACGGTGGTATCATAATGGTAATAATAATAATGTCTTCCATACCGAATTTCCCCCACGGCAGCCTGCCTCAACGGAGGCTAGCCATCGGCGCAGGACAGGATTATAGTGCCCAAGTGTATGCGCAAGCACGGGTGCACTCTCTATTCCCTCATTCTCATTATCCGATGGGACGATAAACCGACACGACCGGGGAGAGATCAGGCGCAGGACCAACTGCTTTACGTGCTTTCCGAGGCACGAAGGTGAGACACCGCCAACTTCCTGACTCCGGACAGCTACTTAGAATTTCTTGACAGAAAAACTCAATAGTTGATTTTTTTTGCCCGACCCGGGATTCGAACCCAGGACCTCATGATCAGCAGTCGCACAACCATTAGACCAACGAGGCAGTAATGGTAATCGACTAAATATAAAAGGCCGTTATAAAATACTTCATTCATTTTTTTCTCTCACAAAGATCACAGTAATCGCACTCAAAGCCCTTTCCCAAAGCCTACACTATCTATTAATTTAAAAATCATCATGTTTTCAATACATTCAAAAAATTATATTAAGATTGCACTCAATTAAGTAACAAGAAATTTTATCTGCATGGCACTAGCTCAATCAAACACGCTGCGGTATGAAACAATAAACAAAGTTACCTGCCCCTGTAAACTCCCCAATACTCTGCTCGCACATTTTTACCCAAACTCCGGGTGATCTAAAATGTAATGCGGCTCGTATGAAATGGGAACAATGCAGCTTCATAAATGTTTTTTTTTTTTGTGATTGTAAAAATTTTATAACGGATTATCTTTAAGAGAAATATTTGAGTTATATACTCATATACGAGCGTTTATAATACATGCGAATTTTTAGTTTCAATGTTCATGGTTTGGCGTATGCACTTGAAAATCAGGCTATGAACACTTTAGGTTAGAGTTGACACAATAAACATTTTACCAATTTTTATTTACTTCATGAATTGAAAATCCAGCATGTGGAAAAGTTCAAGTAATATGAAGCTGTATTGTTTACAGAACTCGCGTTGGAACTAGCTCGTCGGCTCAACTCCAATAACAGCCGGTATGCTAATTCTTTCTTTTTTCTTAATTTAATTTATAAATGTCGGGGTTTAATGAATGGATAATGATTTACAATAGTACAAGGACTATTTAAAAATCAATATAGCTAATTCAAAATAACTGAAATCGCATGTTTTTAAAATATTTTAATAAGGTCAAACATTACTAGTACATCTGGTAGCCTTATTGTAGCATAATGTGGTGAAGAATTAAAAATAACATTTTTAATTTAATTCTAACAAATAAATTATGTTTTTTATAAATATGTACCTACTTTGTTGTGGTATATTATTCATGCTCAATAATATCATCCCGCGCGTAAAACTAGGATGTTTATCTTATAAAATGTATCAACCTGGTTGTTTTAACATCTCTGGTTAGTAATGTTTCTTTCTCGATTAATACCATCCAAAATCTTGATAACAAACTAAAGGCCGAAACAGACTGGAGTTATATAATGCCACGTACGTCGGCGACAGTACATTTCAAAGTGTGGCGACACCACTGTTGTCATCGTCAAAGATTCGATAATGGTAACGCCGCCCGCGCTCAAATCAACGCCGTAGCACGTGTAGGCGCGATCAAATGAACCATTGACGAATGTTTTTCGAAAAGTTTGTTCGTTGCGTAATGGAATTCCACCGAGTAAAAATGTAATATTTAATAATTAATATGTATTTTATCAGTTGTTATAATTAAGTTATTAAAAAAATCCTAATTTATGTGTGAAAAGTCTTTCATTTAACGAGAAATTTATATTTCAATAAGGTACGTCAGCTGAAAAATTCCTTTACATCACAAAGTTTGAATAATTATTTAAACTCGTTGTCTTTCGAGAATATATTATAATTTTACTAAAACGTTTTTAAACATTAATACTCTGTAAATCACAAACTTATAATTAGTAATTTTTAATATGTTTTATTGCACAATGTGGTATTTAATGGGGTTTTTCTATATTATGCTATTTAAATTAATATTAGAACAAGGTTTAATATATATATTTATTTTAAAGTTAAATTAAAGCAATATCCGTACCAAACAAATCTTAAATTTAACATAAATTTCACAGCAACAATAGGACAAGTGACGTTAATGGAAATTTGCGTCACGTGTAGGAACTATAAGGTATAGCTTACATAAAACTTTTTATTTGTTCTTCGTTCTTGACATCGCCTACGCCATTTTTTACTCTTCAGTTAGTTCAGTTATCTTCATAAAATACTCCTTTAGTCTTTTTCACTTGAAAAAGTTGTTGCTTTTCTGGATCCTGTTTTATTTTTTCCCTGTATCTTTTAAATCACCCCACAGCTTTGAATGCCATGATGAGTTCTAAAAAAGGGAAGCCAGATTTAATCTTAGTTTGCATTATCTAAGTTACTATCTAACTATTGCTGTTATCAGTTAAGTACAAATCCCAAAGACTATATAACCACTTGACTGCGCATACAGTGCCCCGACGCTCGAAAACTATTAGTATTTTGTCGCCTATGCATCGCCTATGGTACTATTAACCATTTTAGTATTGTCCAAGTGTTAGACCTGTGTGTACGCTAAATTAATGCAAATTTTTATAACTTTTATGCAATTATAATGCATCAAAATGCCTTCATGCGCGGTGAAGTGGTGTGGGAAACATTCCAGGACAGATTTCCAAAAAGAATGGAGTAACTTTTCATTGCTAAGTTTACTTATATAGTTTTTTAAAATATGAAAATTACTGTTGATTAATTCAGATTATGAGCCACCGCAGGGGTCTATCTAAAACGGTGGCCGGGTAAATAACGACATGGTTGAGTCGCGCGTTGATGTCTTTTGGAAAAGTCTCGTTCTATTATTAGACAATTCTAATGCTTCTATCTCTTTCTTTCCCTTTGTACGTTTATCGTAAACATTAGTACTTACTGTTACCTTTAATAGCTGAAAGTAGATATCGAAAATAATAAAATTAAAATTAATAAAAAGATTATTCAATTCACTCACTGTGAAAAAATACTTATCTACTTTTAACCGTCTTCAGAAAAAAGAGAAGGTTATCAGTTTGTCGGTATTTTTTTCCTAGTTAAAGTTTATAGTTACCTATTTAAATTACTGTTAATATATTACCGTAAACTCCTCGACATTTTATGATAAATCTTTTGCTTTTATTGGAGTAAGACTCTGGAACTCCTTACCCCAGTCCATTAAAAGTGCTCAATCTTTAAATATGTTCAAGGAACAAATTAAGGAACACTATTGGTCTCTTTAACTCCTGTCTCTTCCTCCTCTTAGTTATGGTCACTAATATACCTTAAGTATGTTGTCACTTTATAGTATATAAGTTGTATTTTTTTGTCTAATTTAGTGCACCCTACCCGTTAATCTTATTTTTATTTTTATTAATTTCCTCTTCTGGGTTGTCTGGAAGAGATTGCTATGGAGAAATAAGACCGCCTTTTGTTTTTCCCTCATTGTTTGTTCATTATTTGTTATATTTATGTTTTGTTGGTGTACAATAAAGATTATTGTGTTGTATTGTATTGTTAAATTAGTTAGATTGGTGTACCAAATCAGAACGGCTTACAATTGCAAAAGGACACTAAAGACAAGTTATTGTACGGATCTACTACAATAATAGATATTTGTCGTCGTTGTAAAATTTTCAATAAGAGGGCGATCAATGAGAGTGGTTCAAAAGTGCTGTCTCCAAAATATAATACTAATTATTTTATGAGAACGGTTTTAAAATCTCTGATTAGGTATTATTGATTCCCGTATATTCATTTTCATCAATTTGAAATAGAATCAACAAATCATTTAATTGAATTAGCAAGATGCATAATTTACAAATATATATGTAGACGCTTGTTTATATTTTTTTACAAAGAACAATCAGGACCCTTAAACTTTAATTCGAAATAAATATAACAAATTAATTCATTTCAAAAATCAATAATAATAAAATAAATACATATTTTCGTTGTAACTGATTGATTTTGATTAAATATTATTTCTATGATTTTAATTGAGTATTTTTCATAATGATAAAATCCATTTTATCGATAACGAATATTTTCCTTTATTAAAAAGAGCAACCCTAAAGATAGCCATAACAAAGCAACTTGACCATTCGCAGACACGCGTTCTTCCTCGCCCCCCGGCCCGCAGTAGTGAGTCGTGTGTTTAGAAGAAATCTGCCTATACGCTCTCTAGTGGTTATATTCTCTATGACAAATCCTCATCCTACATAATGTACTCTAAAGAAAAGGAAAATAATTACCTACAAAAGTGTGACTATATGTTATGTAATGATCAATTAAATTTAATTTCGTAAATAAAATCTAGTTGATACTAATTTAGATCAATAAGGTGGTATTATCATACAGCAGTTCGATAAAGACTTCAAAATAAACCAGGCACAATGTTAACCATGCTTAAGAAATCCACTTCGTCACATTTGGTTTTCCGCTAATAAATTACGTTACGTAAAGGAAGTGACTTATGCAGCCGACACAGAAACGAACATATAAATTCAGTAGTTTCGATGCAATTTTACTAAATTTTACCTTCAATTTATATTCTAAACACTTTTTCTAATTAGCCATCAAAATCTCTAATACCAAAAATTTTTACTTACCTCAAGTAATCAAATTCGTAGTGGAAAATGAAAACAGGACAACGTGACGCCCAACAACTCACTTGAATTTCACAAACGCGACTGCTATAAAAAAACTAATAAAGTAACTGTTTGCTTGCTAAAACACTACCAATTGTCAAAAATTACACCTAGTTTATTAATTTCTTTCGTTTCAAGTCGTAAAATAGGCGTCGCGTATATGGAATTTTCCACTAACAGCATTTTGAGGGACAAGTTAAAACGAGTATTTTATATTATTTTGTGATCTAAAGCGCTATAAATATGGAATATTGCCGAATATGTATCAAATAACCCTACCAAATTACATACAATTATGAAGAAAAGGGTTGGATAATACTAATAAGTTTTATCCAACCCTTTTCGTTCGGAACTTTGCGAAACGAGGGTGGGACGCTAAAAAAATTGTCTTTCGCCTTCCTCATAATGCCTATATTTATGTAAAATAAACAGATTTATGTTGTTTTGAATACATTAATAAACCTATTTTAAGTTGTTTTGTCGTTTTAGGCTAAAATAATAAGTTTTGAAACCCTTAGCTTGTTTGAATGTGAATCTAAAGTCATAGGACACGTAATTTTCTAGTGATCTTTCTTTTTGAAAAACGCTCTGACACGTGTAAGTTAATTTCTTGACTGCCCACAATTTGCTTTAGAGTGTTCATTTCCGTTGCTGTGTTGATACTTGTTTAATATTGTTTGAATTATGGTTTAACGTGAATTTTTAATATGAAAAAGAATTGCTGATAATTAGTTTTTGTCAAACCTCGACTCTAATGAGGATGACAACGAATCCAAATAAGGCACGTATAGTGAACGGCGAAAATACTCGCTTAACGGTGTTGCCAGATCTTCAAAAATTGTTAAGTTTTTAGCAAGTTTATAGAAAAAAATGTATTTTAAATAACATATTTTTATTAAATAAAATATATTCTATCGCGTGTAATTTACTTTTTTTATTTATTTTCTTATTAGTGTTCGTCTGAATTTAAGAAATCAACATATTTCTATATTAATTAATGTAATTATGATGGTGTTTTAATTTTTTTTTTTTGGTAATGTCATTATGTTACCTATGTGCCCCTTCGGATTTAACATCGGTTCCCCATCGGTTTTCTTTACACAATATAAATGGAACCCTATGTCCTATAGCTATTGTTGTTGTCTCCAATAGATGATGGGGTAAAATATCTGGTAATGTGTACAAGATGCTTGAGTTTGCTAATCGTTGCGATTACGGCAAAGTCTACCCTTAAGCTAGATAGAGCCTCGCGATTAACCTATACTCTCAAAACAATAAACCATTTACCGACTGATAAGGAGTAATTTACATAGTATGTCATATTCATATTTAATGTTACTTACTACGCCGAAATATTTATCTAAGGTAGGTAATTGTCGAATTAATTATATTAGATGGCACGTTTTTAGGGCGGAATTGGCTAATCTACTAACGGAAGAGATAGGTGGTCTTTCGCCGCGGTATGGTGTATTATTTTGTATGTTTTTGTAAAACACATTACGAAATCACTGAAAGTCAAAATGCATGTGAATTCAGCGTAACGAAAAATAATATGGGAATTAAATTAGTGGTACAGAACTTGTTGTAATGAAATATAGATTTTTTAAACTTCATATATCGAAGACTCGAATTCAGAATAGTGTTTGTTAATCATATCCGTTGTTTTCTTGCAGAGGAAGTAGCAGCTATGATGAATCCGACTACAACTCAGACTTCGACGAGGGGGGGGAGGAGGAGGAGGAGGATGAGGAATATAGTGATATGTGAGTTATTTATTCACTTTTAAGTCGGTGTTCAGTGCGTCTGATTTTCATCAGTTTGTATGAGATGAAGTGCAGAGTTTTTATTTGACGCTCTGGGCCCAGTCCGATATAGTGCCCTTTATGAAACTTACGCACTTGATTAAGTAATTTAACAATAAAACAAAGATCAAACGGGAAATTAAATAGAATCAGAGGCGTTTTATTTTTTTGTGCAAAGCCATAATTTAAATAGGTTAAAAATTAATATAATATAATATATATATATATATAATTCATATGAAACACAAAAAATGTTTCTACCTATGCCCGTATTAGACTTTGAAACCATCCAACCGAATTTGATAAAATATTGTGTGTGAGTTGGAATGGGTCCTTAGGTGGTTTGTATTCACATTTGGATCCGGTAGGTGGCGCCGTTGTCGAGATCCTAAAATCACCCGTGCGAAGCAGGGCCGGATCAATAAAAAAACAGTTGACAGTCTTTGTCAAAAACAGAGTCAGTACAAAACATCAGTATACAAAACAAAGAACTAATCTTCTCGTCTGCTCACAGTCAACTAAAGAAGTTACGGAGAATTAGCAGTAACTTAGTGCACAATGTATTATTACATTGTTATTCTATTTCACTATGATGGTTTCGCCTTGATTGTAGTAGTGACGTGTATCGACAGGCGCGTTTGTGTGTGTAAGCTGAAGGAGCGTTAGCAAAGAAATCAGAAACACCTTTTTAAATTAAGTTTCAATTTTTTTAATAATGAATATTTAGTTGTTAGAATAATTTATTAACATTTTCTACAAAGAGAATAAGTGTGAAGCAACTTGCTTGATAGAAACAAAGTAAGTTGATGTAGGACTTAGCATACATTTTTATTCAGTTAAAAAGACTAAAGTGAACACAATTCTATATGTTACACTGTCAGTTACAAAATTTTCGAATTCTGATGCGCTGTCGTTGGAATCATTTTGCAAATCAATCACGGACTCAAAATCTAGGTCAAAGTATTTCAAGTATTTTTTTTCTATTTTTTCAACATGAGTACAGGTATACCACGTTTCGGAGGTAACTTTGTTCAAGCTTTCATTTATTAGTTTTTCAATGATATCATTTTTTACAATTCCTCAATTTTTTTCAATCGCATTTATTTCTGGGTGGTGTATAACATCAAACACCTTTGCTTTTGATAAAATCATCCATTTTGTATGTTATGTGTTTATCTTTGTGTTTTTCTATTATGTTACACAATTCCAATTTAAGAAGAGATTGCTCAAATGTTGTGCCCTTGTCTCTTCGCCATTGCTGCATATCTACTTTATTTGTTGCTGATGTAGGCATTTTTTCAGCCCGTGTATTATGATAAGAATCATTGTCTAAGACAATGACACAGCGTTCAGGTAAATTAGGTAAGTTTTTCGTTGAGCCATTTCTAAATCAAATCAAATAAGTTATTTGTAAAACATAGGTAAAAAGTTACAAACTTGGTGGTAAAGGTGTGATAAGTAACACTATGTTTCGCCTAAAAAAGCATTCAAAGAATAATTAATTAAAAATTCCTATAATGATCATAGCTCATAATCTAATGGTAATCGCCAACTGTAGATTTGGTCTTATAAACCAAAGCGGCATTTTCAATAAATCCATCCTTTGTTTTTGCATTACTACAAATGCATTACTGTAAATCTACTGCCTATGCTGTGCTTATTGTTTTCATAAATGAAGTGCCTTCTTATTTTGTGCCCAGGTGTTTCGCACGTGTGTTGAAAGAACATAACTTTCATCAGTGTAGACATTTGGTCGTCCTTGAGAGCGATATTCCGATACATTTTTTAAATACTTTAGTCGCCACATCTATATGTCACGACGTTCTGTCAAAACTCTTCGTTGTTTTTTTTTTAGCTGTTTTTGTATCCTAATTTCAGTAATAACCATCGAAGCGTTTCGAGGCAACCTTCAAAACTTTTCATTTGAAACTCTTCTTAAGTTCGCCAACGTTGGAATCTCTTTATTTATTTATTTACTCTTTATTGTACACAAAAATACAATACATCGAGTACAGTTAAATCTAAAGTAGAGTATGTACAACAGGCGGTCTTATCACTCTGAAAGTGATTTCTTCCAGACAACCTTTGCGTAGAGAACTGATGCAAACAATAGTTAAAATAGAGGGGGGCGTACAAAATAACAATAAAAATATGAAAATACATTAAAATAAAATATTATATACAAATAAAGATGTGAAAATCATATATAAAAGATCATATAAGATTATATGAATATAGATTAAATGAAAAGAATACGAGAAAGGAAATGTAATTTAACTAATAGCGTTCTAAGTAATACGATTTAACGATGTAATACGGTTGAAAGAGTGAAGAGATTTAGCACGACGAATATGAAGAGGTAAAGTTATGGTGAAGGATTTCTTAAAAAAGGAGGAAGAGTGCAAAGAAGTAGAGAGAGAAAGATTGACAGAGGATCGAAGGAACCGATTACGGGTAAGGGAAAGATACTGAAAACGGTCTTTTAAATAATGAGGAGTGGAAGGATTAAACAGCACGCTATACAATACGGAGAGAATATGAGTATTCCTGCGAAAGTGAATCGGGAGCCATTTGAGCTGTTTGCGAAATTCGGAGATATGATCATATTTGCCAAGCCCAAATATAAATCTAATACATATATTTTGAAAGCGCTCAAGCTGATTAAGGTGCTCCTCGGTAATGTCAAAATAGCAAATATCAGTATAGTCAAGGATAGGCAGAAGTAGAAACTGGGCAAGCGTAACTTTAGTTGCTGTGGGAAGAAAATTACGTAATTTATGTAGAGCTTAACGCAGCAAACATTTTTCTACTAACCTAATTAACGAGTGAGGTCCAAGACATACAGGAGTCGAGATACAACCCCAGGTTTTTAACCTTCTTACTGTAAAGGATTACATTGCAGTCTAGTATAATAGGAGGTAGGGAAGACCAGTCAATTTTTCCAATTAATCTAGAATTACCAATGACAATGACCTGAGTTTTTTTAGGATTAATCGTTAAACCATAACATTTATTCCAGTTCAAAATACAAGTCAGATCAGCGTTAACGGTGTCAACTGCTTTAGACAGATCTTCAAGAGAGGACTGAGTATAGATTTGGAGATCATCAGCATACAAGTGGTAGGAAAAGGACAAATTATGACTTATAGAGTTAATGAAAATTGCAAACAGGAGGAGAGACAACCTCTTACACCTGAATGCGCTGTACCAAACAAGTAACTTCAAAACCAGTCAACTACAGTTGGAAATATGTTGAGAGAGCGCAGGATGCCTAACAAGATATCAAAATCTACAGTATTAACCCGTTCACCAAGCGGTGCGCACTTTAGATCGTACAATACCTACCTTACGTCCGCTCCAGAGGAGCACTAATTAGATCAGAATTATGTAAAATTGTGTACCTATGAAAAAACTATTTTTTCGTTTTAAACAAAACCAAAGACACTATGCAATAGATAATAGTATCAAAGACAAAGATATGCTCTTTTATTTTAAACCATAACCTGGCAATGTTTCTTAGAAAAAGAAAAAAAGAAATCACTCTGAACTTTCAGCGTTCCACGTGTCGCTTTGATAAAGGTGCTCCGTCTTTTTTATAGAATATTATATTTGTATCTGAACTAAAAACGAAAGTATTATTCTTTTTTTATATTCCTTGTAATATAGTAAACACGTAGATATATAATTTGTGGTATAAAAACTGAAAAGTAAATTGCCAAAAATACTTCAAAATCCGGAAGGCCCATTTTGGCGGTTGGGTCATAAATGTGTTATTTTTCAAATTCTCATTTATTTTTAGTGTAAAATGTAAGTAAAAATAGTTTTCTTACATATTTCAAATAACTTGACGTTGTATTTATTTCAAATTCACACAAAACTATTTTTGAAATATTATATATTATAAAATAATATTATTTTTTTTTTAATTTTTTAATATTTTAATATTTTGGTATGAGTAACGAATAGAAACACATAAAACATAAAAATATACATATTTCCAAACATTTTCATATAAATTTCTCCAAAAACAAAAGTGTAGAATTCAAATTAGTAGTAATTTTGTCACTAAAATTGAAGTATATACTACTACTATGCTATACAGGGTAATTTATGTATTACATTACCATTTCTAGCAACCAAAAATAATTTTATTCGATAGTTTATACATTCAACAAGAAATCCTGTAAGTTTTATCCATAAATATTGTCTCAAAGTGAAAATATAGCAAAATTTGCAATATAGCAAAAAATTTTCTAACTTACAAATTTTCCCGCCATTAAGGTCCCGAGCGAACGGGAGTATAACATGTCGCGCGCTGTCAGAGCGTACTTAAATGCGTTACTAAAATCAAGCAACGTAAGAATGGTAAGCTTTTGTTTCTCCATACCATACCGACTATCATCAGTGATTTGTAAAAGTGCAGTCGTCGTACTATGGCCAGGACGGAAACCGGATTGCAAAGGATTTAAATTTTTTGATTATTTTTGAAAAGATAGGTGCTAGTGTGTATTTTTGAAAAGAAAGACGTTCTACAACTTTGGAAAGGAAAGGTAAAATAGAGATAGGTCTATAATCAGAAAAACTAGAGGGATTCGACTTTTTCGGAAGAGGAACTACAAAAGCATCTTTATAAACGACATGGAAATATTCTATCGTACTTCGTATAATATCGGCTGTGACATAATCTATTTCTATCTATTATCTCATTTTCATCTTTTCTTCATAGGCGAAGTAAACTTTGAGGGAGTAGCATGGGAACTCCTTTTCTTTTAAAATCCGTTGGACGGTTGAATGAGAAACACCTGCTGCCTCAGATGTACGCTGTGTAATATTTCGTAAATGTGTCAAATCACAGTTATGCTCTGTAACTGATTTGTAAGTTCATACTCCTCTTTTAGGAAATGGTAAACTCTAACTATTATGCTTGGACCTTAAAATCAAACCAAACGAAATTAGTTAAC